CTCCCCCTGTCCACCAGTTCGAGAGCACTGTCCCATGTGGAGCAGGCCGTCTGCATGTGTTTAGGTAGAGACTTGCATCTGTGACCATCTCTGCCCGGTGCTGTGTGCTCCATCCTGACTCCCCTGTGCTTTTCTCCCTGTAGCATGTGGTTTCATCTTTCCAAACCTCACCAAAAACAAAAACAAGAAAACAAAAAACAAAGCAGGTTTCAGGATTGGGAGGAGAACAGATATGCAATTTTACAAACATGAGATGTCTATTGGACATGCAGGTAGAGATGTTGAGTTGATTGTATCAATTGGATATAATAGTCTGAATTTCAGGAATTTACAAAGGTATGAATTTGAGAGTCATCTGCAGAAATATGATATTTAAGATCTGGATGAGTTGCCAAGAAAGTGAGTGTAGATTGAGAATAGAAAGGATCTAAAGACCCAATAATGGATTGCTTTGGCAACATGTTGCCAAATTCAATAACTCAGCCTTTTTCTTATCATAGGAAACTTTATTTATTTATTTATTTATTTATTTATTTATTTATTTATTATTTATTTATTTATTTATTTACTTATTTATTTATTTTTATTGGTGTTCAGTTTGCCAACATATAGAATAACACCCAGTACTTATCCCATCAAGTGCCCTCCTCAGTGCCCATCACCCAGTCACCCCTACCCACCTCCCTTTCTACCACCCCTTGTTCGTTTCCCAGAGTTAGGAGTCGTAGGAAACTTCTGAGAAACATTTTAACCCAGTAGTCCATTGCCGTCTTTCCTCCTAAAACACATTTCTCTTCTATATTTTTAAGACTTATTTGTCTGGGGATCCCTGGGTGGGTCAGCAGTTTAGTGCCTGCCTTTGGCCAGGTGCATGGTTCTGGAGTCCCGGGATCGAGGCCTGTGTCGGGCTCCCTGCATGAGGCCTGCTTCTCCCTCTGCCTATGTCTCTGCCTCCCTGTGTGTGTGTCTGTCATGAATAAATAAATAAAATCTTTTTTAAAAAGACTTATTTGTCTGATCTGCCTTCTTCTTAATTTTTTTGTTAGCTCCAAATCTTTTTTTTTTTAAATTGAACTATAGTTGATCCCCTATGTTACATTAGTTTCAGGTATACAACAGTGATTCCACAACTCTATATGCTGGCCTGTGCTCACCACAAGTGTGGCTACCATCTGTCACCATACAGAGCTGTGACAGTACATTGACTATACTCTTTATGCTGTTTCTTTCATCCCTTTGATTAACTCATTCTGTAACTGGAAGCCTGTATCTCCTACTCCTCTTCATCCATTTTGCCCATCCCCTCAACCCCTTCCAAATCTTATGCTTAAATATTAGTGGGTCACAGGACCTAGTTTTCTCCTCTGTCTCTGTCTTCCTCTCTTTCAGTCCACACACACACACACACACACACACACACACACATACACACACACATAGACTTGGCAGGTGACTGTGTAGTCTGATCCATCCTCAACAACTATTTCTTGAACATTCACTGTGTAACAGCAACTCTTTTAAGATCTGAAATACTGAAGTAAGCAAAACAAAATTCCACTCTAAAGAATCTAATTATAGCATGGTAACAAAGAACATCCATGGATAAAGTATGTAATATCTTAGATGGATAATAAGACTGATAAATAAGGATACAGAAGGCTTCATAAAATCTTAAGGTTTACAATAGAGCAATGGATTGTACTATATATACAATATATATTATATATTACATATATACATATATATGTACAATAATAATACATATATATACATAGTATCTCAGTTACAAAGCAAAACAAACAAAAATCATGGATTAATTTCAGAGATTGCTAAAGCAATAATTTATTAGAAAAATTGATCAGCAAAAGCAAAGAATTCATCATTTATCTTACCTTTTCTGCACAAATTATATTTTAGGGAAACTGAAAAGATGATGAGAAAAATGTATTCTTTGTGAGAGAATTTTAACTTAAAAATGGCAAAGGGATGATCTAATTAGAAAACCATTATTTTGTAGCAAAGGAAAGAATTCATTTGGGAAATGATCACAATGCCAAAGGAATTAGTTGAAAGATGGAGAATTTTACAATCGATTGCTCAAGATGATAACACCTGAAAAAGTGATCAATTTAATATCATTATACATCTCCTGATGTCACAGACTAAATACGCAAAATCAACTTGGAAGTATTCTTGCCAAAAGAATTGAATCAGAATCCAGTCAAATCTCTAGAAATAAAAAGCAATTTACAGAATGAAGAGATATAGAGAAGCATAAAGGATACTGCAAGCACTCACTCAGTTAAATCAATAAGGTGGATCTTTATTTGGATCCTGGCTAAATAACTGCAAAAAAAGATATTTTAGAGCCAAACTGGGAACTTTTAATATTCCATGGGTGTTACATTATTCTAAGAAATTATTATGTTTCCTAGATGTGATAAATTAGTATGGTTATGTTTATTTTAAAGTATCCATAACCTAGTTCATCAATGTGTAACTCATCTCGCTTCTTCTAAACTTTAATCCTTTCAAATTGAGATATTTTAAAGCAAATATCAGATGTCACAACTTAAACATTAAAAAAAGAATTCTGTGTGTACCTCTAGAAGAGAAGTTTTTTTTTTTTTTTTGCTGCAATTATTACATTTTTGGATTGTTAATTGAAGAGTAGAACTTCAAAATGAAAATTTTTTCCCTAATACCATTATCATTTTACAGACAGACACTTGAGTTCAGCCACCTGAACACAAGTTTGGGATTGGCCTGAGTGACAGTATTGAATTCAGTGTTGAAGGCAGTCTCTAAAAGGACCTCAGATGATATCTATCTCCCAATATTCATGTTCTTGTGCAATGCCCTCCCCTTGAGTGTGAGCTAGATTAAATAACTCATCTTTAATTCACAGACTATAGCAGAAGTGATTTGAAGTCACTTCTGAGATCAGATTATCAAAGACTGTTGATTCCATCTTGTATGCTTAGGTTCTCTTTTACACTGTCAAATCACTTGCTTCTGGGGAAAGCCAGCTGCCATGACACAAAGCAGCCCTGTAGAGAGATTCACCTGAGTGGTATTGGAAGTAGATCTTCGGGGTCTTCAGAAAGTCATATGAATGAATTCAGAAGCAGATCCTCACCCATCTGAGCTTTCAGATGAGACAGCAGCACCATCCAACAATTTAACATCTACTTTGTAAAAGAGACTCTAGGCTAGAACCATCTAGTTATATCATTCCGGATTCCTGAGTGGATTTATTTCTTTTGCTAGGTTCTGCATATCACTAATCCCACCAGCATTAACCAATGTTCTCTTTCAAGAATCTATAACTCATACCTATATGTTTGCCTCAGGCTTCACCCATATTTATCTTGCCTCATTCATTACCTCTCTCTTTTTACTTTTATTTTCCCATACAACCTACTTACTTTCACACTAGTACTCAGGTTTAAGATTATAAGATTAGTTAAAATGGATATGTAAGCTATTTTAGCTAATTAGAAAAAAAAATCATCCCCTTAACATTGTAATGTAGTAGATTTTTGCCCTTACTGGGAGCAAACTAACTACCTGACATTGGAATAATAAATTAAGGGTAAATATTTCACACCTCTGTGCTAGATCAGGCAAGGCATTGTCCTTTTAAAGATGAAAGGATATCACTTCCTTGGGATATTTGTGAAAAAGAGGGAGTAATTTAACAGATTTTGGCTATGGATGTTTTATAGCTCTAGTCCTTACCTAGCAAATGAGAATTACTCAGTCATAAAGTTAAATTAAGATGTTTATTGGGGAGAAATGTGAAACTCTTCACTATTTGGTTTAATACTATAGAAACTGATCTGCAGGAGGTGTTTATTTTAAAATAATTTCCCAACAGTGAGAGCATTGCCATAACTATGTTATTTCACATTTTCCCACTGTAATTTGTTTAAAATAAAACTGTGGTCATAAAAAAATAAAAATAAATAAAACTGTGGTCATGATTACACAACATCAAATTGAATGATATATCCATCTTAAGGAAAGTGGCACTAGAGGGTCAATGCAGACAATACAGAGCAATTTGAGAGAGGGAACTGAGCTAATGGATCAGTTGCATTACCGTCATCACATGGTGCTTAATAGATGGCAGGTGCTCTTCTATGCAATCTATACTCTTAATTCCTTTAATTCTCACAGAAAGCCTATGAGGTAAGTACTACTATATCCCCATTTTACCATGAGAAAAATGAGACACAGAGGGACTAAATAACTTGCTCATGGTATTAGAGCTTTCACGTGTCTTGGGGTTCATATGCTTTATTCCTGGATAATACTTTAATATGCTATTTAAAGCAATATTTGGCTTGCCCAAAATCATTACTGATAAGATCTCAACCAAGAGCAATGAATCTATCTGAAGAGACCTTTCTATGCGTAGAAATACAGAAACACATGCACATGCGTGTACATGCACACTCACAAATATATGTATTACTAATACGTGTATTGCATATATACATATGCTACTAAATGAAATTTTTGTGCATGCTTGATTTTTTAGAGATTTGTTGCCAAGAAAATAGGCACTGAGAAATGAATCTTCATATAATAAGTAGAATCAGAAATGATGGACTCTAATTGATGAGACAGAGTTTCATATATTTTCTTAATTAACTTGATTTTGATTTAAGAATGAGTAAACTTTATTTGCTACCTAAGCAATAATTATTATCTCTGGATTTGTCAGAGGAGGTCATTGAGAGGACATGACTGCCAGTTCACCTGCAAGCTGGACCTGGGCAGTTGGATGTTCCTTACTCCCCCAAGTCCCCACACTCCCCATCCCCATGCTTGGAGTGTAAGATCCACCCACCATTCTGTAGGGGAAGCTGCTTCAAGGATGAAGCCTTGAGAGAGTAATGTGCCGTTAAGACCATCTGGACTATTCTGAACTCCATCAAGTTCTCTATATAAACTTCAAAGATTCTGTTGAGTGAGGGTAGTGATCTACTCACCCCATGGCTGCCCAAAACAAGCCAGCCTTGAAAGTCTTCTTGCTTATTAAAACTACCACATACCAATCTGGAGTGGTTTGTCTCTTTCTTTAATCTCTCCTTGTCCTCTGTGTTTGGGGGCAGTTTCATGTTTCATCCAGGAAACTCTTGTGTCTGCAAACCAATACGATTATGTTTGTAAACCAGGTAAAGATTTTGTTAATGATCTTAATCATTAATGTTTGACTTTCTAGTTTGAAGTATCGTTATTAAACTTTTATTTGTCTTCAATGTATATTTATTTATATTTGTAATAGTTCGTTCATTTGTCTTCAATGTATATTTATTTATATTTGTAATAGTTTGTTCATACTTAATTGTGACTTACAGTCAAGTCTAAATTTTGTCTAGATCCAGACCTGTATTGGGCTCCCAGGACTCTGGGATCATGACCTGAGCTGAAGGCAGATGCTAATCTGACTGAGCCACCCAGGCACCCCTGCACTTTTGTTATTAAAAGAGAAAAACACAAATAGCATGCCTTTTATCCTTTCCTCTATCACCTTAAACATTTATAAACATTAATATTACTTGTTCTGTTTTCAGTGCTTATTATTTGAACATTTATTTACACTGCTTAATAAAGAGGATAGCAATAAACAGAGAAACTAGTTCCACTGCTTGGAAGTAATATGCCATTGTTAAGAATTCTATTTCTCTCATTCCTAAGAGAGCACAAAGACCATTTATGTTTGGGAAAAAGTTAATGCATTGCTTGAGACAAGATTATTATTTCTCTTTTGCTGTATATTTCTAAAGATCATTAACAAAGAGAGTGATAGCAGCATTACTACTTTGCGTCACAGTGCAGGAAGGCTACCTTTTCTGGTAACTGATGAATGAGAAACAGAAAACCTTAACAAAATGGTTACCAAACTCAAAGTGAAATTGGAGAATGAGAGTGATCTTTGAGGAGTTTTTCAATGGTACACTGAATTAATACTGACAATCAAGGAGGGCTCTCTGTGGGGCACCTGGGTGGCTCAGTGGTTGAGCATCTGCCTTATGCTCATCTCTGATCCTGCAGTCCTAGAATGGAGTCCCACATCAGGCTCCCTGCATGGAGCCTGCTTCTCCCTCTGCCTATGTCTCTGCCTCTCTCTCTCTCTGTATCTCTCATGAATGAATAGATAAAATCTTTTTTTAAAAAAAAAAGTAGGGCTCTCTAGTCCTGCTTGGGTTTTTTTTTTTTTTTTTTTTGTGAATTAAGGAGAAATCCTTTTCACTAGGTCAAGTGTGATACTGAAATATTTTTTTCTGAGTTAACTTAGATGATTTCTATCTTGCTTTGATAATGGAAACCCAGCCACTTCAGATTCTGCAAACAAACCCCTACATTATTGAGCTATAGAGATGCTACATAAGTAACAAATGTCACTTTTAATGTCAATAAATTAGATTTTTTAAAAAATAATTTAAAATGATTATTTGAGCATAATGCACACTTTACATTTGCTTATGCAAAGTTTCATCAGTAAAGAAACACTAGGTGAATGCAAAAAATTGTACCCAATTGGTCAGGCTTGTGATGAAGGTGCAAAATGACACATGCACATGTCACCAATAGGTCCTGCTTCCTCAGTTCATGGTGTCTGCTGGGAGCCACATCCATTTACATCTGATGTTGCCACTTCCTAACAAATATCAGATAACCTTCCTTCCACCATTTCATAATGATTTACGATCCACTACACCTCTAAAGGCCACTTCTACAAGCAAAACTTAAGGATTTCTCAAGGTAAACTGTTACATTTATTATAGTATTTGGGTATTTCTTAACAATTTACACAGTAAATTGTTTACACAGTTTACACAGGTAAACTTGCACTGCCAATTTTGTTCAGTTTCTATCTTTTTTAGTTGCCACTGATAAAGTTTTTGTGTGTTGTTACCCTAACCAGTTTTCTCATAAGCCCTGTGCTTTTTATTAGAGGATTTTGCATAATTTTGCATAGTCTGGTGATTTTTAAAAAAATGTGTATGTCATGCTACAGTAGAATGAACTGTATTCTGTTGGGGGAAAAAATTTTAAAGCTTATTTTTTCAAAGGGCTGTTTCTAGTAATGAAACCATGTGTTCAACAAAAATCAAAGTTGTTTTACATTATTGAGGTAGCAAATGTCTTACAAAACCATCATCTTCCTTTAGTATTCTTAAAAAACTAGTTGTCACTAAAAGAATTAACAATTTCAACTGATTTTATAGCAAAAGGGAGATCAAGAAGTTTATCTTTTGTTAAAATATACTTCATTTGCTAACTTTGGGACAATTTTTTTTTCTGTCCATTCGTGCATAAATCTTCTTTAATTATTTGCATAACAACTGTCTTTAGTAATGTGTGATATTTGGACATTTAGAGCCATATCTATAATATAAGATGACTGGATAAATAGAGCAAAATATAAGTAAATATACTTACCTGGTAGTGGAAGAGTTATGTGATCAAGGCAAGACAATGTAAAGTGCATTGGGTGACAAATATGAGGCCAGTTGTGCCAAAGAGAGTGAGATAATTTAAAAAGATGTTACAGTCTCCCCTTCTGTCTCTCCCATCTCCCTGCTTGCACACACATGCACTTTTAATAAATAAAAAATAAATCTAAAAAATTAAAAAACAAAAAAACAAAAACAACAAGAAGGTACCTTGGTGGCTGGCTCAGTCAGCTAAGCATCAACTTTTGGTTTGAGTTCCAGTCATGGTCTCAGTGTCATGGCATCGAACCTCACATGGGTCTCTACACTTATCCCAAGTCTGCTTGAGATTCTCTCTCTCTCTCTCCTTCTTCCTCCGTCCCTCCCCACCACTTGATTTATCTTTCTCTCAAATAAATAAATAAATCTTTAAAAACAATACAAGGATATTACAGTGGTACAAATGAAGAACCCAAGGCCTAAGGTAAGGTGATGGCAGTGGGAATCAGAGGAGGGAGAAAAGAAATACATGAGGATAGGGTACTTGTCTCAGGAACTGAAGACTCTGATGTAGCAGGGAGGGGACAGGAGTAAAAATCCAGGTGTTTCAGGTGTTTGTTTTCAGATCTAGCAGTTATGATGCTATCTCCACATTTCAGAATGCAAGGGAAGCACATATCAGAGAGCAGAAATATGGTCAGCATAACTCTGGACATACTGGTTTGGGGGCTTTCACATATCCAGTTGGTGGCATCTTGTGGGCAGATGAACATATAGGTATGGAGAGCAGTAGAGATGTAGAGAAGTCTAGACTGAAGACCAATTATAATTCATAGACAGAAGTAGAATTTGAAGGTTGGCATTTGATGAGCTATAGATGTAGAATGAGAAGAAAAGGTGATTGAGGAATGATGCCCTGAATATTTAAGAGTAAAGAGAAGGAAGCCTGATGGGAGATGAACAGAAAAAAACTAAGGGTAAATTGGAATAAAAAGGTACTTAAACATGGAGGGTGGTGATCCCCATGTGGCCCACAACATTGTTTGAATTCCATACATTGTCTTATACAGAATAAAGGAGTAAATATAAAAAAAACAGATGACGAAGGGGAAGTATAAATGATAGAGCAAGGTCTTAGTGGAGGCAGGAAATATATATTGCACACACAGAGAACTTAACATTTAAATGTGAGGGACAGATGTGTCTATGGGAGAATAGGAAAGCCTGAGAGGCCATCTGAAAGCACAATGGCTGAGCCAGAAGAGCTTCTGGATTAAGGAAAACCACCTCTAAACTACTAATTTCTCTAAACTCTAAATTGCTAACTTTGGGACAATTAAGGTAAAAAGAGTGGTTCTCTGGTAAAAGTAGAGGTGCTCAGGTAGGTTTTAGCACTTGGGAAGAGGTGGAAAAAGGCATGGGATGCTGTGGAGACAGCACCTGAGAATAACGAGTTATTAACAACAGTTTTCTTCTGGAGTTGAAGCAAGGCTAGAATGAACAATTCTGAGATGGGCTGGGGGACCACTTTGACCTTCAGGCTTTTCTCCAACAAATAACAACTTTTGTATATACTTTATTTTAGAATAATCAAAATAATTTGTGATAGGGATTCAGCTCCTAGAATTCAATTTGCATACAATGAAATCTATCATTAAACACAGGGACAACATGCATTTGTAGAATATTTGCTTTTCTCCTTCTACCCCAGACTTGTTACATTTTGGTAACGGATTGAAGCTGTGGTTTTCTACTTTATTCACCAGGAAATTTTTGTCTTATGTTTAATCCTTTGACAGTTCGACGGATATAACTTTGATCATGATTCTAAGCTAAAGAGAAAATGATGGAAAGTACTGGGAAAGCCATTAAAGAGTCGCGAGACCTGGCTTGAACCCAAGCTATGCCATTTACTTATTTTTCATAATGGGCAAATAAATGACTTCATCTACATGAGATTCAATGTCTTCTAAAAAATGAAAATAGGTCTGATGGAGTTTGTGGAACAGATCAAATGAAGTGATGAATATGAAAGTTTCTGGCACCTACATGACATTTAATAAAGGTTAATTGATAAGGAATTCAGCAATCTTCTCAATTTTTCAATAAAATTTATTTTTATGAATCAAATCCTTTTGGAATAAGACAGTGTATAGATAAGTAAATAAATAAATTACATTTTATTTTTCAAATCTAATTTTACACTAATCATGTTTGACAATTCAAATATTTGAGTTTTTAAGTAAATATTCTCATTTTGATCAATGTTCTCAGGTGAACTGGTAAAGATTAAATAACTTTTTTCTCTCTAACATCTATATAATGCACTTCTGCTTTCACAGAACATATCAAATATTATGTTGGGATTTATGCTTGTGTCAGCTTTTGAACCCACTGAGCTAGCAGGACTGGAATTCCAACAAGTTAGAGACTTACTCTATTTAAACATATCCACAAACATTTCTCTGGTACTGCCTCCCTCCTTCCAGGGGCATGGTACTACTCACTTTCAAATAAAATTTAGTCTTTTATTAAGCTACATTATAGTTTTGTGATACCAAATAAGTTTAGTGAATGAAGGAAAATAAATGTCATGCCTCATTTTGTATATAGTCATATATTTATAATCT